CTTCCGCAGCTCCCCGCGGAGCGAGCTGATGCCGCTGGAGTCTGCCTACCGCTACGGCCTGGACCAGTACAGCACCGAGAACTGGCCCGAGAGCGTCAACTACCTGGAGGTCAGCATGCGGCTCTACCGCCTGCTGCGGGACAGCGAGGCCTTCTGCCACCGCAACTGCAGCGCCGCCGGGCAGCCCCTTCCCGCCGCTACCGGGCAGCCCCCTCCCGCCACCGGCGGCGGGGCGGCGCTGGCCGAGCTGCGCCTGCTGGCCGGGGTGCTGCGGAGGGCCCAGTGCCTGCGGCGCTGCAAGCAAGGGCTGCCCGCCTTCCGACAGGCCCAGCCCGGCCGCGACCTGCTGGAGGAGTTCCAGCGACGGGAGCCCTACAAGTACCTGCAGTTCGCCTACTTCAAGGTGAGGCCCGGACCCTTGTCATAGAGTCATAGAATTGCCCAGGCCGGAAGGGACCTCCAAAGGCCATCTAGTCCGACCCCCCCGCAGTCAGCAGGGACACCCCCAACTAGACCAGGTTGCCCAGGGCCTCGTCGAGCCTCACCTTGAATATCTCCAGGGATGGGGCCTCAACCACCTCCCTGGGCAACCTGTTCCAGTGCTCCACCACCCTCACAGTGAAGAACCCTCTCCTAATCTCCAATCTAAATCTGTTCCCCTCCAGCTTGAAGCCATTGCCCCTCATCCTGTCACTGCAGGCCTTTGTAAGCAGGCTCTCCCCAGCCTTCCTGTAGGCTCCCTTCATCTGTCCCTTCATCCCTTGTCCATCCGTCCTTCTATCCATCCATCCATCTATCCATCCATCCATCCTCCCTCCCACCCCATCTCTCTGCCCTGCCCTTACCTTCCTGCCGTCCCTTCATCCCTTGTCCATCCGTCCTCCATCCATCCATCCATCCCTCCATCCTCCCTCCCGTGTCCCTTCATCCCTTGTCCATCCGTCCTTCTATCCATCCATCCATCTATCCATCCATCCATCCCTCCATCCTCCCTCCCGCACCATCTCTCTGCCCTGCCCTTACCTTCCTGCTCCTCCCTCCCACCCCTCAGCCTCAGCTTCCCAAAGTCATCCGTCTAGCTGAAGAACTTGTGGAATACGTGTGCTAAACCAGCAAACGTTCTCCGTTGTGGTCCCGATACGTGGTCTCTCCCCTTGGGCTGGCAGCGGCGTGGCTGGAAAGTTGGCAAACCAGTAACCCATGGGGTCAGACGAAGGCAGAGTATGGCTGTGCTATAAGGTTGATCAGCTGCAACCATGGTATTGCTGGATCTGGTCTAGTCCTGAAGGGCACTTAGATACTGCTTACCTGGTTTTTAAACATTAAGTTTGAATCGTGCTTGAAATTCAAGACAAATCCCTAAATTGTTACAGCCAGCATACACCTTCTTCGAGTAATCTTGATCTAGTTGAGTTTTAAAGAGATCACAAGGAGACAGGAGGATCTCAAAAAGAACCCCATAGGAATATTTTTCTATATGTAATTCAGCCTTTAATAGGTACAAAGTTTAACTAACTTTTGAAAAGCTAAAAATTTACTTCAGCGTTTCAGAGTATCAGTCTATCAAGCATCATTTAGCTGAACCCTGGCAGTAGTTCTGCTCTGGTGTCACCCTCCAGCCAAGCGTGCCTGGTGGAGGGGGACAGCGTGGCGTGTCCCCGCACAGCCTCGATGGAGGCAGGTGCCATGTGTGCCCAATGCTGCCTGTCGTGCCAGTCTCTTTACCTGGCCCCAGAGCAGGTTACTCTGGCCCGTAGCCTCCTTCCCCATCTCCTCCTCCACACCAGTTCAGCTGTCAGTTGTCATCTGCCCCAGCTCCATCTCTCCCCCTTACCTGGTGAGGCCCCTGAGTCCCTGACACCCTGCACTTCATCATCTGCTCCCCAGCAAACCTTTCAGCCCACCTCATGTAACCCACAGTGAGTCCACCATGTCTTCTCCCCTGCTAGCCCATGGCATACCATCCAGCTCGCTCTTCACCAGTTTTTCCACAGCTCATCCAGTGCGTCCCCTCAATTAGCCCCTCCAGTTCTTCCCAGACCCCCAGCCACTGGACCCTGCCTCCTTGTCTTGTAGTTGTGCTCTTCCTACCCCTGCCCCTCTCATCTTTCTGTCGGACTTATTTTCTTCTGACTTTCTCTGAAACATTTTTAGGATCCTTCAGGTCACCACCCTTTTTATCGCAAGTGCTCTCCGCTGCTTCCTCTCCCTCAGTGGGTCCATCTTCCTCGCTTGCTCTCTTCTGGTCCAGTTCTTTCAAGCGCAGCAGCCCCCAGCCTGTGACTCGCAGACAGCCCGGTGCCTGCAAAACTCCAGTTTGGTTACAGCCCACAGGAAGGAATAAAGCAGAAGCTGGCTGCTGACGTGGGACAGTAATGCTGGCCCTGGAACGGTATTTACTTTTTGCTCTTGGTTCAGCCAGGGCTGGGGGGCAACACCCCTTTTAACAGATTTCATCCCATTCTTCTAGCTTCTTATCCTTTTGTCCAGGATCTAATTAACAGCTTCTTCCCTCCTTCTCATCTTCATCTGTTCTCTAAATCAAGGTCCATCCCTCCTGCCATCCCCTCAGATACTGCAATTACTTGCATTTCCAATAAATGGTCTCTTGGGGGAGAAGACAAGCTGAACTCTTTGGTTAGATTGTTTTCTCTTTTAGGGATTCACTCCCAGCATATCCCGGTGTACTTTATATAGGGTTGTGTGCTGTCTCTAGGACCCTACAGCAGAACGTACCTTTGTGCATTAAAGCCTCTGCGCACACAGAGAACAGAAGGTATCAGACAGGGGAGATTTCTTTTGAATAACAGAGTGTGTAGGAACTCCTCTCGTTCTCAGAGTCCTAAATGGATACCAAAATGACATCACCACAGACGTTTTCATTTCTTGCCTTACATTTAGCTATTTGTTCCCCCCTTGTGCTACATACAGAAGGTATCAAACGGGAGATTTCTTTTGAATAACAGAGTGTGTAGGAACTCCTCTCGTTCTCAGAGTCCTAAATGGATACCAAAATGACATCACCACAGACGTTTTCATTTCTTGCCTTACATTTAGCTATTTGTTCCCCCCTCTCTTTTGATACAAAGTTTTCAATGCCTCGATCACTGCACAAACCATTCCTTCTTGGTGTTTCTGATACAGTTCAATATCTGACAGGAAGGAATGTGAGAGGGAAATTGGAGAAAGCCCTCCCTCTCCCTTCAGACTGTTTTTCGGTCTCATTTGCAGTCGGTTGCAGTGGTGCAGTTCGGTGGCTTTGCCTTAGTGTCAGTTGTTTATATTGTCAGTCTGATTAGGTTGTGGTCCCACTCTGAGCTCTTGCCACCTTCTCAGGGAGTTCTGAATGGCCCTTCTAGAGGTACAAACTGCTGTGTACAAAGGGCTTTCTCCTGCCTGGTGGTGCTGTGAAGAAAGGAATGTCACTTCCCCCACCCTGTACCCTCCCGCCCCCCCCAACAGGATTTATAATATATGAAGAAGGCAGAGAAATGCTTTACATCATCTTTTAGAGTGACCATGTGTTTATTCAGGTGGGTTCAACAGTGAAATTTTGCCACGTCTTAGATCCTGGGAGTAGATGTTTCTGTGCTGCTGCTTGCTCCTCTGGAGGGAGCTTTCTCGGAGCCGCTGAGTTCTCTTAGGAATGTGTTTCTACAGAAACTTTTTTTTTTTTTTCTCTTTTGGTGGTGAAAACTGAAACGAGAAATTAATTACGGACTATGCAAAAATGAGAGACTTGTCAGCCCAGCAACAACCAGGGTTAAAGCATAAAGCACAAAAGAAACCGGGAATGTGACGAAAGTGCAGCTGAGATTTCCCTTTGCGTTTAGCACCGTGTGGGCTGGCTGGAAGCACATAGTTTTGGGACAGCAGGAAGAGCTTCTGGCAGAGTTCCCAGAGCGGGACACATATAGCGGCACAGCAGCCAGAGCTCCTGTTAGAGTTGATGTCTTTCTTTGGTGTAGTTCTCCCTCAGGTTTCTTTCTGATCTTCTGTGGATGCAAACAGAAGAGTGCACATGCATATATGCTTGTGGTTCTTGCTCATCGTTTTATAAGTGCACTTCCTTAAGCTGTTTCAGATGTGGAGCTCTGTGTCGCCTACACATCACTCTGCTGCAGGTCTTGATACGATTCTTGGCTTAGAAGGGAAAAGGTTTTAACATTTCACAAATACCTAAGACTTTTACTTTCACTCTTCCTGCGTACATGTATATATACTATGTAGTTTACAAAAATATGTATGTATATAAAATAAAAATCATAAATGCACATATTTAAGTACATATTGATTTGGCACAAGCAGTTGTACATGAGGAATACTACATACTTCACAAAATTTCTCTAACGGTGTTTAAAGTTAGTTTAAAAATCATTACAAAAAATCACATAGTACAGTAGGACGTAATTCCTGAGCAACTCCCTGCTGTTTGCTCTAGTTTCGTAACACCATCAGGAAGATACATGATGGTAGTATTGTCTTCTATAGTGCTAGGGAGATAAGTGACATAAGCACCATGTAAACATGGGAAGTGATGACTCCTGCCCGCTAGCCATAGATTAACATCAGTAATTGCAGTGAGATTAATTCCACACAGGAGCAACAATATAATCTTCTGCCTTGTCAGCTTTATGAGCAGAGAAGGGGAAAGGGGAAAAAAAGTCTGCTTTTTGACTTACCATCATCACCTGTTCTGTCTGCAACGATAATATACTTTTAAAATTAAAATAAATAATGTTCCTAGTGATGCAGCTAGGAGTAAAACTAAGAAGAATTGTGTCACTTTTATTGTACTGTGGTATCTGCTGGGACTGTTGTTTCAGTAGAAGTAGTTCGGGAATATAGAGTCTGCAGGAAAGTTCATTGACAGAAGTTGGAAAACCTTGAACTGTTTTATTCCAATTAACCTTTCTTTCCCTCTTCTTCCTCTCCCCATCCCTGTTTAGGCTAATAATCTTCCAAAAGCTATTGCAGCAGCTCACACATTTCTCCTGAAGCATCCAGATGATGAAATGATGCAAAGAAATATGGCCTACTATAAGAGCATACCTGATGCTGAGGAGCATATTAAAGACTTGGAGACAAAGCCTTATGAGGTACGATTTTTATTCAGAGTCTGGTCTTTTGGAACTTTCTGTTACTCCTCCTGTTGTGTGAGATTCAAGGATCTCATTTGCTTACGTGTTCTTGGTTCTTACTCTCCCTCTTGCTGTCTTGTTGATGAGTTCAGTAGTTCTCACCTCTTATGCTTTTCACTGTTCCATAAGTCACAGTAAGTCATAGACGGTGACATACCTGAAAGCTGCTACATGCAGATGACTACTCGAGCTGAGCAGGTACAGAGACTTATTCAAATGCATGAGTGCTGTAGCAGCACAGCTTAAAATAACTGGACATTTGGGGTTAAGATTCCGTGGAAAATCTCTGTCAAAACCTGTGCTTTAGAATCAGGCTGTTCCCTCTGTTCAGCAGACTGTTCTGTTGATCTGAAATGGAATTCCGTACTCTGGTAAAATCCATTAGTCATCTGTATGTGTTTTCCTCACATTAATTGGGTAACAGTTTATACAGTAATCCAGAAGTGCAGAGATATTATTTACTGTATTTGAATTTACACACAGCTTTCCACGGATCAGTTACTGCTGGTTTTTCATTCTTGCTGTTTTTTCAGAACCTGTTTGTCAGGGCTGTGAGAGCATACAACGGTGACAATTGGAGAACATCTATCTCGGACATGGAGCTGGCTCTTCCTGATTTCTTCAAAGCCTACGATGACTGTACAGCAGCCTGTGAAGGCTCCCGGGAGATCAAAGATTTTAAAGACTTCTATCTCTCCATTGCAGGTGAGTGGTTAGGAAATAGTAAGGAAAAATGTCCCAAAAGTGCATTTCAGTTTATCTGTAGGATTGGCCACCGACATCCTGTTCCTCATTTTGCAGTTTGCAATGCACGTTGCCCCCTGCTCAGTGTGGGTCAAAATGAGTTTATTAGATTCACTGAAAAACGCTTGAATTCCAGTTTACTTTTTTTTTTTTTTTAATTAATCCCTGCAATATAAATGGGGGCTGTCAGAAAATCAGAACATGGAGTTCTAACATTGATATGGAAATTTAAGTGTGTGTCAGAGTACAACAGATGTGTAAGTAACTACAACTGCTCCGTCCCGCGTCTGGTAATTTCATTTGGCCAATCATTTTCAGTTAGCTTCAGCACTCTTCATGGTAGGAGTTGTCAGAGATGGAAACAGGGGAAGGGGCCTTTGCTGTCCTTTTGCCTTGGTCAGGAACATGCTGCAGAAGCTGAGATAACTTGCTTTCACCTGCCAAAAGTGGCTAACAGGGAAACTAAGGCTTTAAAATGTTTCTGTTTGGTATTATTGTCTAATGTCGTATATCCAGAAAACACTTGCAACACTTTCTGGCTGCACGTTGTTCTGTACTGAGCAGCATATTTGTGTTTATCTTCTCTTTTAGAACATCCACACTACAGGCACAAAATGCAGCCATCTCTGGAAGTTTATGTTGCAATCACCTGCTGTATTTCTCTGTGACAGTTGCACTCAGCAGCACGTGGACCTTATTCATGGAATAATTTAATGAGATTATAAAGGCTTTCAAGATGAAATGAAAAAGAGAGCGCTGTTAAGTTCACAGTTAATAATGCAGTGTATTCAGCAACTCTGTATAAAACCTACTGCCACAGACTGCCTGAAGGTGTCAGTAAAACCTAACTGCTTGGCTCTCTAGAATTGCAGCTTTGATACATTTCCAGTCCAGACTGCACTGATTTTTACAGACGGGCCAAGTACCAGTGCTTGATCCCTACTCCAGGTGGAGTTGTAGGTGCTCGGTAATTTCAAGCAGCAAGATCCAGAGGTGCAGGACCCAGGAAAGATTTATAAGGCCAAAATTTAATTGGTAGCTAATGGGAGGGCTTATAACAAGTCCCTGTGTGTTATCTATATCCTGTGCTGTTGTTTTCTTCCTTCTAGATCATTATATCGAAGTCCTTGCCTGCAAAGTGCAGTGTGAGAGCAATCTGACACCCATCATAGGCGGCTTTGTTGTTGAGAAATTTGTGGCCACCATGTACCATTACTTGCAGTTTGCTTATTATAAACGTAAGTAGTGATTTAATGTGCTTAAATAACATTGCAATGGTGTGGGACAGCTTCCATTCATAATCTTTTCCCTCTGGTTATGTTGCTTTAGAATGTAAATAGTGGCCTCCAGAATCTGCATTTTAACCTGTTCTGGGGCAGAAGGTCTGAGCTGCCTGGCGTCTTTTTCTCCCTCTATGACTGTAGTTAACAGACATGGGAGATGAACATAATCTGTAGAGCATGGGCTCATAAAACTGTCCATGGCAAAATAAATCACTGAGCAGAAGTCCCATAAGGGCTGGATTTTTCCCCAGACAGGCCCCTCTGTTTTAAGTTATGCATGGTTGTGACTGGTCTCCGTTTGGGTGTTGGAAAAATGAGGTAGTTGCAGAGTAAATATGATCTGATCATCACTGCCCTTCGTTCTTTAAATGATACCTACTGCCAGCACAAGTTGCTTACACTTTTCAGAGTTTCATACTAATGATAAATGTTCATATAAGTGATAAATGTTCATCATATGTATCTTAGGTGTTTAGATGATACACCAACTTTTCTGCCTTTTTGAAGTAACTCATAATATAACGTGTTAGGGTAAACAGTGTCAGCCCCTTCCTAGACACTGGAACGTGTGCAATGACACAGATTCATTTTGTATACCTGTGTACAAAAAAACCCTAGTTTGTGCCAAAAAGCCATGGTAGTCAAGCTGTCAGGTGCACATGAGTGTTAAGCAGCCAGATGTATAGCTCTAACAAGAAGTTTTTTCTTAAAATTCTAACTCATTCAGTTAGATGGAAGTAAGATTATAACTTCAAGGCAACACATTTAACATAGCACCACTTATCCTGTGGAATAAACACTCAATTTTCAATTTACTCTTCAGAATTTTTTCTACAGACAAACCTACAGAATTTATCTAGTGGATTCTTCTAATCCTGTTAGAATGGTGCACGTGGGGCTACATGGGTTTTGAAGAGGTTGGGGACCACTTAACAGAAATTGCAGTGTTCTGGTCCTCGGTGATTACACATTTGATAGGTAAATAATTCAGTGATTTTTGTGGTTTCTTGAGGAACTCCTTGCACTGTAAGGAACACGTGTAGCCGTTACAGCTATTCCTGCAGGCTCCAACATTGAAGGGAAGACAAATTCAGCCATGTAGCAGCAAGCCATTAAGGACATTTGCTTATGTTGTTTAGCTATACGTTTTACACCTTGTCTTCTTCCTCTTTGTCAACTCCAGTACAAAGAAGTAGGGTTTTTTAAATTTATTTTTTGTTGGGTTTGTAATAAATGCCCCATTGGGGATCACCAAGCTGTGGGCTGATGCCTCACTGATACTGGGACATGTGGGAGGGATGTTTGGTTAGGATTTTCATAGAAAACCATCAGAGGTAAATCCCCATTTTTTAATCATGGTCTTACCTGTTTTAGAACACAAAAATAGCATGTCCTTTCTGAGAAGCAATGTGGGTTTTTTTTCTGTGAAGCTGGTGGAGAGCTAGAAAATGGGTCCTGTTTCCATCTGAGTTTTTCAGACCTTAGATAATAGTAGGAATTTGTTCATTTACCTTATCTAAAATTTTGTGTGTGTTTGTTAATTAGTGAACGACATGAAGAATGCAGCTGCTTGTGCTGCTAGTTACCTTCTGTTTGACCAGAAAGATGAAGTAATGAAGCAGAACATGGTATATTATCAGTACCACAAAGACAAATGGGGACTTAAAGAAGAGGATTTTCAGCCCAGATCGGTAAGTGAATTACTTAAAATGCCTTCTAGACACATTCAGATATTTTCCTGAATCTCACTGGCCAGAGGTTTTGAAAACTGGGGTTAATCTGTTGATTCTGGAGTTAAACACATACTGTTTTATTAGCAACTTGTACACAGAGGCATACTATGTAACGTAGATGGTGAATCTCATTATAGTTCTTCCCTTTGTGTTGAAATATGCTACAATAGGATATAATATGATACGATGACAAATTCACATTGGTACTCCTCTGCCACTTAGGTATATTTATATCTATCTACCTCGACAAATAAAGCACCTGGCCCCTGAAATTTCCTGAGGAAAAGATCACTCCAGTGATATTCAGGCTTTTGTTTATTTGCCAACTTGTGGTTGCTCACCTGCTTGTTATTTTGGCTTCTGTGTGTGTTGGAATGTGTCTGGGTATGATAATCCCACCTAAATGCACTTTCCACTTACTGCATTTAGAGCATGGTTGGGTGGATGAGGATGGAAAAAGGTTCACGACCGTATTGCACCTAATTATCTGTGTTAGAACACTTGCTGCAAAGAACCCACAGTAAACATCAGTCCATCCAGCAGTGATTGTGATCTGGCTTTGAAAAATTACTCGAAAAATGGGTTTCCGTGCTGTTCTTAAATTTCCATGTCTGGAGAAGTTTACATATAAAAGCACTTTTGCTGCAGCCTGGACTTTGACAATCAGGTTGGATGTTTTGTCATTTCTTGTTACCGGGATTTATGTCGCTCAGTTGGATTAACTGCTTTGTGACACCTGAGTGACTCCTTACGTACCAGCGGTATGTGCTCTACACATAGTCAATACACTACAATAGTCAGTCATTGGCAATACATGTTCCACAAATCAAATTTAGTGCTTTCTCTTACTGCATGACTTCCCCGTTGAAGGGGACTCTTCAGTGAACAGTCATTTAAGTTAATTTAGCTGAAACAACAGTGGTGATGTTCCAGTTGCCTCTCCCATGTTGCTTCTCCAGACCCCTAGTCACCTAGCCCTCTACTGGCCCAAAGGGATATCCCTTTACTCTTAAAGCAGCGTAAAGTTCAGTAGATGTGGGTAGTCCTGGAGTGACTGGCTTTATCTGCAGCAACACTGCAGAGCAGTTCTCGTGTGCATCTTCTAACTTGCACTTATTTGATAATTACATTTTCCTTCCTCTCAGGCCAGCCAGCTCAAGGCAAAATTACCACTCTGTTTAAATGAAGTGTTTTTCGGTTGTGGACTGCTGTTGAGTTTTGTGCAACACACTTTATCTGCACACACTGGGAACCCAGGCCTGCCCTGCAGGGCCAACTGAGGCAGAAGACACAGAAAGCACATTTGGTTCTTTCAGGCAGCAGCAGCGAGTCTGAGCTCAGAGGGGAAAGGGACCAGTCCTCTGTGACTGCTTCTGGGAAGAGAACTCTGCTTTATAGCCATATTGGAGGCAGAGTTTGACAGTGGCAGGAGTGAGGGGCAGTAGCCATATAGAACTGCAAGCCACAGGCAGATTTGGCATAGAATCATAGAGTGATTAGTGTTGGAAGGGACCTTAAAGATTAAGTTCCAACCCCCTGCCCTGGGCAGGGACACCTCCCACCAGACCAGGTTGCTCCAAGCCCCATCCAGCCTGGCCTTGAACCCCTCCAGGGATGGGGCAGCCACAGCTTCTCTGGGCAACCTGTTCCAGTGTCTCACCACCCTCACAGCAAAGAATTTCTTCCTAAAGAAGATATTTTCTTGTACTTTGATCCATGTAGCTATGAGCAGAAGTTGCTTGCTGTCCTAATCACTCGCCATGAAAACCATGATGCCTCTGGTTTATTTTTGCAAGGTGGGAACAGGGTGACAGCAGCGCTTGGCTCTGGCACTGAGCTTCACATGTTCTTGTGAAAGAACGTTTTTTTCCTCCCCAAAAAGAGTTAAACGGGGTAATCAAAGTAGGTTACTGTTGGTATTCACAACTATGAGAGTAGGTGACTGGGCTAAACTGGGCTGTCCAGGCAAAGAGCTGGGAACGTGAGGAGGGACAGGTGGGTGACCGTGCAGAGCTTCCCTCTCCCAGGCTGGGGCTGGGGTGGTGAGTCATTATCGTGCAGAATAGCTCAGTGTCTCTTTTTCCTAGAACTGCCTGCCGCCGTAGGCCAGGGCGCTGAGAGACAGAGGCCTTCTGGCGTCCAAAGCCCGCTGGAATGCAGGCGCAGGCCGCTGCTCGGCCCTGGCAGTCTCACTCCCTGTTCTCAGCCTCGCCAACGCTTTGAAACATGAGAAAAAGGAGAGTGCTTTGTTCTTCTCACACCGACGGAGCCTGTGCTTAGAAAGATCCACAGAAAACATTGGAAACGCTGCCCGTTGTTCTGATGTTTCCTTTCTCAAACGTTATAACGCCCCCCCCCGACAGGATCTACCTGCTACTAAGCCTGGGTCTGACTTCACTGGAGTAGTTTCAGGTGACACGTGGTGACACTTCAGGGTCTTGCTACCCTAAAGTAACATACAGATTTTGTTTTTTGGTAGGAGGCAGTTCGATACCACAACATAACCACGCTCCAGTTGGAAATGTATGAATTCGCAAAGGAACATCTGATGGATGACGATGAGGTGAGTTTTCTAGAAAGGAAATCATGGTCAAGAAAACCAGCAATCACGTTAAAGTGAAGATGATACATAGATGGAATTCCAGGATTTAGCTAATATGGAAAAATCGTCTTGTACCTTGAGCAATTTATCATGAACTTTTCTTTTGTAAATGGAATATAGGAAACAAACCCAAAGAACATCATGTACTGTTTTAAAAAATATGGACAGTGTTGACACAAAGGTTGATATAATGCACTGAGCCCACATAAAAAGAAAATCCACTTTGCAAGCTGTAACACCAGGGGGCAGAGAAGTAGTATGTATATTTAAACCCAACATTTTTCTGGAGTTTGTTTTCTAAAATGTTGGTTAAATTAAAGATCCTTATAATTTTGCCCAGAAGTAGCCACCTAAATTGTCATTTTTTCAAAATGAAGTCTTGTTATCAGGGTTTTTTTTTTCCTCACAATAACATTTTGGTCACCCAGCCTTGCTTCTTAAATGGTTGGACTTCATGGCCGAATGACATAAAATGACTATTATTACACTGGAAATATGTAAAGTGGATTTTTTTTGTGCAAGAAAAGTAGTTAAATTAGTAAAAGAGCATTTCTTTGTCTCCCACAGCTGAAATTGAAGTATAAATCATAGAGGCTTTGGGTTGCCTTTTGTTTTGCTTTGTTTCCAGAACCTTTCATTTAAAGGTTTAAAAAAGTCTTCAAATGTTAGAATAGTTCATGGCTGGCATTGGCAAAGAGCTATGGTCAGTTATGGCAGGGGGCAGGGTACTTATAGTGAGCACTGCTGAGATGTTTTTTAGTTACAAAGATGGTTTATGTTACAAAAGGAAATCACCTTTGCAATTTTTATGCTCTCCAGCATGTAAAGAGAGCTAATACTTTTATAGTGGAGAAGTAATAACATGTCTGTCCTGCCTTCAGTGTGCTAGTGACCTGGAAACAGCTCTCTACGTAAAATTCCATTGCAAGGTTACCAGACTTTAGGAAGACTTTCCATTGCGATAAAATCCTGTGAAAGAGGGTTTAATAAGCTGTTATAAGGTTAAGCTTAAATGAGGACTGGTCTGTATGGATTTTTATCAGGGTGTGAAATACTTGAGCATTTTTTTCATATTTCCTGGTTGGTTTGTGCTTTGCCCATGATGTTTTCTTATGTTAGGCATAAACTTAATTTGTCGTTTTTTCCTTCTTTCACATCTGCTGCTTCCAAACACAGGGATGAGTAATTAAGGAATGGGAGAAGCAGTCCCTTGCAAGGGCTTTCCCCATATGTTGTTACAAGGAGGATTACAGAAACAATCTCCAGCCTCCAGCGCTGTGTATGGTATAAACAAGCGCTCATTTGCTGGCATTCGTTCCTGCGGCCCTGTTTCACCAGGGCAATTACTAACGACCTTGCAATCTGCAGGAGGGAATTAACAGTGGAAACGTCAGTTAAACTTTTGGGGAAGTGTCAAGGAAGCCACAGTACACTGGATTACACGTTTAGGTTAAGCAACCAAAATTACTGGGCCCGATCATGACACAGATATCCCTACCCCACGCTGTTAGGGAGGTCACCTGGGAGGTTCTCTTCTCCCAGGGAAAAGCTGAAGGGCTTCTGTGCCCTTCTGAACTAGGGCTGAAGAACCTGGGAGGGATGATGGAAGCTGTCCACGCCTCTGGCTTGGCTCTGGCTTTTGGTAGTGAACTCATAAATTCCTGGCTACCAGAACTTGGCTTTGGCTTCCAGGGAGCCCAGACAGAGCAGGAATAGCACAAAGGTAAAATCGCTACCTTGCACTTTCTGCTGCATGGGCAGGACCTGGTAGTGAAAGTGGAATTTTTTAATTTTTTATTATTTCTCCTGGCATGGATAGAAAAGTTTATTCCAAAGGAATGCTGAAAACTGATGAAAAACCCAGATAAGGTGTTACAGTAAAAGCTGTATTAAAAATTGTTAAGGATGGAGGCAACCTCTCTTTTCTGTCGACTCTGTTTATTTAAACCATGTGCTTCTTGGGCCATCGGCCATACCTTTTGTGAGTTCCTGTGGTCCATGTTTGCTGTCTGTGAACTTGCGTGTGGGCCAACAAGCCCATAAAATAATCTGCAGGAAAAAAAAAATCATTCTGTTTCCTTGAGTGAAGCCAAAGGATTGAGGTGGCAAGAGGATCTCTTCTTATGTGAATATGTCATTATTCCCAAGTGGAGAATCTCACTTTATTCAGACTTCTCGGTGCTCCCGTATCCCACATCATCCATGTGTCTTTTTAAATCCCATTAACAAAGCAAGTGAGAACATGTGGCTTCTTCCAGTAACACATTGCGGTAATTGCAGAGGTTGGAACATACAGTAATGATTTTTGCATATGTCACTGCAAGAAATACTGTCCTGTTCATGTTACTTTGTTAATGTTTTTCCACAAGGAAATGAAAAACTCTAGTTCAAACATTTAACACGGTAGAGGTGACAGAGAATATTAGCGCCAACTAGCTACAAATTACTTTTTCTTAAAAGTAATTATTAAATATCCTTTCAGTTTTCCACAGTGAATTTAAAAGAACATTACACAGTGTTGTCATCTCATTTGGCCACGGGTTGCCAAGCTTTTTGATTTTTGTTCAGACCTGTGATGCATAAGGGCTATAATAGATACAACTCCTCGTATTGCACAGACTTAAATAGCAAACTGAACTGCTGTTAAGAGCCAGATACTCAGCTAGTGTAGATATAACTTCAGCACTGCACTAATTGTATGAGACATGTTTCTGGCCCATAAAATCAGTGTTCTTGAGGAATTTTTTTTCACGGATAGCTACTAACTGTTCTAAGTTGCATAAGAACTACAGGTTTTTGGCTGGGATGATCCTACAGTGTGATTTATTTTTTCTTTCGGTACTTACTCAGTAGGTGAAAAACTGTTGGTAGCTTTGATCTGCTTTTTTGGTGTCTTGTTCTTTTTGTTTGTATAGAATATGTGTGTCCATTTGTATAGTAGCTGAAATTCAAATGCTCCATTCCTAAGTGCGACACAAAGGAGAATTAAGTCTTGAACTAGTGTGACTGTGAAAAGTGTGGAAAAACATATGGAATAGCATCAAAGCACGAGGGCCCCAGTGGACTACTGATGGCATAGAATAATCTGAATTCAGCCTATTTTTCTGTTCAGGAATTGCTAGCAACATATTTTCAGCTTTATGAACTGATGGTGTGACTGGCTCTCCAGAGCTTCCTGCTTTCCCCTTTTGCTTCTTGCACGTTGGATGTGGATCTTGGTCCAAGGTCCTTCTTCCTTCCATTCCTTCCTTCCTCCTCCCATTTATACCACCTACCACGAGAAGCTGCAAGCACCGTTGGGCTAATATGGCAGGATGTCCCCAGGTTGCAGGTACCAACATTGGGAGGACTTTTTCTCTGCCCAGATTTTTCTTAAGCTTCTGTGTGCAGCACAGAGCAGGCAAGAGAGCATGAGTAGAGCTTGCTCGGAGGCCACTTGAAAGCTTCTGTTTTCAGTGCAAGGGGAGCAACGTTGAAGTTGCTCTGAAACTGGGTTGACTCATGTTTTATAGGCATTATAAAAATGTTAAGAGGAAAGCACATTTATTGGATTACTGTAAAATACTACTGTAATAACTGCAGTGTACTGCCATCTCCCATAGTATATGGGAAGAGAACGGTTACATGTTCGGAATATATCATTAAAAAAATTAAATGGAAAAATATTTGAGAAAGTAGTTAACATACATGTAAAGAACAACTAAGCTCTTTTAATATTGGGGAAAAAAACACCCTATAAAGCATGTGACAGCGGGTCGCACTGTGGACTAAATATCTGAAAAATAAACAAGTTAAGGGCCAAATAATTTTTCTGCATGAAGAATTGAGGGATTTTTTTTTCCCTTACTAGAATCCAGGGAATGTCTAGCCCTGTGTGTACTGCTCATGGAGGATCTGGGAGGGCTTTGAGGTGGTTACAGTGAACTCTCGTGTTTTAACTGAAGGTTAGATCAAGGGACTTTTTCTTGGTCGAAGGCTGAATAAACCTTTCAGGCTGAGCCACTCATTGACACATGCCTTACTGTTACCTCAAAATAATGTGTCCCCTCAAAAAATATCTCTGGCCCGTGAGCTGTGTGGTGTGCACTCGTAGGCTCTGCCAGGCTCACGGAGCACAGATCCTCCACCGTTGTCCATATCAAAGCTTTGTCTTCAGTCTCACAAGATGGTTATTTGTCCCTGAACAAAATCCACTGGTTTTCATAACCTAACGCTCTGTCACTACTCCCATTAATTACTCAAATTAGTTACCAGGACGGTTACAGGACAATTAGTCATTAGTTACGGGGCGGCGCTGACGTTTCCTCAGAGAGGCCACCCCTGCAACCCTTCCTGCTACCCCAACCCTGCCACCTACACCCAATACATAAGGGATTCAAATCGGTTACTCTCAGCCTTGAACAAATTTCCAGTCATTAAGCTCTTTGAGCTTTAGCAAAACCTGATTTTTTGCTGTGAAGGAGAGCCGCGGGACATTTTGTGGGATAAATATTTTCCTTCTAGGTCATAGATTATAAGGAAACAAAGATCCAGCCAATTCTTCTTGCTCTGTATATCGTCTCTTAAGTCGCAGTTTGTTGGATGAGTTTAGGATAAAGGCTGTTTCTTATTCATTCACTGAATGAATGTCCATAATAATATTTTTCTGTAGACTTTAAATCGTTCTAGAACACTATTATTTTAGTAGTCTCTGCTACTTCCCTGAGGAACAGGCGATCCCACTGCAGTGCATATGGAATCCCTATAGAGCAGTCCATCTGCACGGAAAGTACGGGTCATTGCAGGAAAGCTGGTTTTTTCCCAAAACTTTTCCAGTCCTCCTCACTGAGCAAGGACAGAACAGATGGTAGGTGGAGGCGAGGACCCCTGAGTGATTAATATTTGCTACACAGAAGGCAATGCTTAGTCTTAACGACCCAAGGGGAAGCGTCGGTGCCGGTCAGTGGGCAGTACGACTGCAA